AAAAAAAAAAAAAAAAAAAAAGCCCCCCTAAGAGATCTTTTACTAGTATGTTTTCGAAGATCTTTTCTTTTATTTCTCTTTTTTTTTTCCTTTTTGACGGGGGCAAGGTGGAATGCGGGGACACGCGACGCGCTGCAAGCAATAATTTAAATGAATGGAATTATTTTATTAACTTACTTTTCCCGGAGTTTGGTTCAGTTGCTATGGTGTTTGAGTGGACCTTCCATCAAATAGTCCCGCAACTATACAACCACTTGGACCTGACTCGTCCAACCTATTAAAATAAAAAAAATAAAAATAAAAATTAAAAAAAAGATAAAACCTACTAGTAGCAACTAAAATAGTTTCGTATACCTATATATCTTGGTACCAACAGGATCGTATTAATTTGCCACTCTGAGACGTCTCTTGTAGCACCTCGTCGCGTCATATCCAGGGTCGTCCCACCTAAAAAAGTACTAGAAATAGATGGATACAAGTGGAATAAAGCTTCCAGAGCTATATGTAAACAATGATCATCAAGTCCCGATAACGCCAGAACCCACTCATTGAACGGTAAATCCAAGCGTCAAGCTTCCTGCCGTCCATTTGCTTGTCCATTCTGGGTCCCTCCCAGAACCCCATCGACAAAGTCCGGGTATCTAAATACCTCCCCTCGCTTTCCTCCTCCAGGGCCCTTACTGCTCTTTCCTCCAAAAGCCCTGCGCCCGGTAAACCCATTCAGAACTTCATTGATCTCTCGTTCGCTGAGCGGAACCTCTCCGTCTTCCGGAGCCGTGTGCAAAAGAGCGTCGCGAAGTTCCCCCACGTTGATCTGGCCGCTGTCGTCCTCATCAAAAGCGGCCAACGCATTCACTAACTCTTGGCGCGAAGATAACGGAGCGAGTAGGTTGGACAAGATGTTCAAGAATGTAGGGAAGTTGATGGTTTCAGGGCTCCCCGGGGGGAAGAAGTCGGATAACATAGACGGATCTTGACCTATTCACCACAGTAAGCTTTGTGCTTCCATACCTAGTTTTTCATGTCTTAACAAGGTTTTCTCAACAACATACCGACATTCACAAGCACGTCTGCGACATCATCCTTGTTCACCGATCCGTCATTATCCCGGTCAAGAACCTGGAAAGCCTCTCGGATTTCTCGGAGTTGCGCCGGCGCTAGTTTTGAAGCTGCATCAGACGATCCGGCCGTCATGCCCATTGCCCGGGCACCCACCCTCGGTGACCTATCTGGTGAATCGGCCCCTCTAGTCGGCGATGCGGATGGCGACTCTCTAGAAAACCGAGGTTGCGGAATTCGCTCTCTGCTAGTCGGCGACGCATCCTCGTGCTCAACGGTATATGATTGATTAAGTTTGCTTGGAGACACTACCGGCGTGTATCCTCGGCTCGGTGAACTCCCCGGTGTGGTAGGGCGAATCCCTGTAGGCGGAGAGTTTGGCGTAGAGGGACGACGGAAAGGAGAAGCACGAGGTGAGCCGAACGATAACGGCGACGGTTTAAAGGGAGTATTCGAGGTGACCTAGGCACACCATGGTGAGCTTGGCAATGGGGAAATTGTGGGGGAGAAAACACATTATCCGTACCATGATGCAGGTACCGCCGCAGAGTGGATGATTAGGTTAATTTTGCAAAGGGGATGTACTATTGAATCCAACCACCAGTAGTGTGGAGAGGAGTGTAGTAGATAGTAGCGACCGTTGCGACAGGCGCGGGGGAGTATTTCAACTGTCGGTGGCGGCGGTGGGAATTTTATCAGAGATTCAATTGATATCGAATCGAACGATAACTGGAATGCTAAATAAGTTTCCCAGAAGGGTAAAGCAGCCAAACAATGCTGAAGCAAACAAACATTTCGGCGTCAAGTCGGGCCGACCGATCAATGGGCACGTGCGGGGAGCTTAATCCGGAGTAGAAGCAAGCATGGAGGCATTCCTGGAAAATTAAAAGAAGTGAGACCCGAGTCAGTTTTGACAGTTCAGACAGCAATTGACATGCATCCCGTCATGACTATTTAAATCCAATCTGCCTGCAATTGAGTCTCTGATCATGGCGATTGTGGTGATTCCGTGGAATTTCCCCGCTGTGGATCTTCAAATCTAAGGCTTCTTTTTATCCAAACTCCCCCTTTCCCCCCCCCCTGAATCGGACGAATTACATGGTCGATCAATCAACTAATCCTCCGACGGGATCTTTTCAGCGTGGCGAACACTGCCTTATCTGAACCATGACAGCTTGACTTACAAGTCGCAGACGGTCCCTTTGGAATAATTGATCCAGTCGTGGTTGATCAATTAATTCCAAGGAGCATGCGGTTATTTCTTTGTTGCTCGTCTCCATTGCGCCTTGGCCACCAGAAACGCCCCGTTGATTTGCCCGCGATCTAATCCGAAACATTCCTCCCAAATTTTTGTCTCCTGAATAGGAAAATGAGCCTCACACTCCCTCATCGACCATCCGATGACGCTGCTCGTTCGCTTCCGACGTCCAGTTCTTCCAAAAGCAATGGCATACCCCGGTTATCTCCCTCCCCGTCCTTTGTTCACAACCGATCCGTGAGCAACTCCGGTATCTCCGTGCGTGGTTATGAGCCGAACCTCGCTGCTCCCCCTGCATTTAGACCGCGAAAATGTAAATCGCAATATCCTCATGATTCATCAGAGCGCCATGTCGAATACATACTCGTTGCCTCCTTCCACATTGACCGGGGTCCCATCATGGAACATCAATACCCCGCCCCTATCAGCGGTGATGAAAGCATGTTGGCCGAGCTGATGCTTCCGGATCAAACTCATGTCCGAAGCCAGGATTGGACAATCTTTTTCTTGCACAAGGACTCAAATGCCGACCAGGATGATGAGGACTCATTCGGGGCAAAGAGGAAAAAGAAGACCAAGAAGACCAAGAAGTCTAGAGCATCCCATGACGGCGATGGGGCCGGTGGCAGTGAAGAGGACCAAGATGAGTCTGGCAACGAAGAGGAGAGCAGTGATGACGAAGATGAGGGTGGCGAGGGACCACCGTTGATGTATGTTCTGAACCTTGTAAATACAAAGCAAGACCATACAGTCAAAAGGTATGTCTCTTGGTCCTTTCTCGGCGCGCAACGCGACTAAACGAATCAAAGAGGTGCGGTTGTGAAGGCCATGGCTATATGTACACGCCACTCATTCCTCCATATATATAAGGTAGGTCACTGTCTGACAAGACGTCGGAAGTTGTGAACTAACACGGCAATAGCCCTTACTTCTTCTAGCCTTAGAAGACTATTTCAAGAACCCTTACCTGGAAACGCTAGCCTTGTTGTACAATGCTTTGAATGCCATGGATCTCTCTCTGCTCCCCAAGCTGTCCCTTTTAGAGCGACAAATATTGCAGGCTAGCAACTGCAAGGATATGTTTATCGAAAAGTTCGAGCAGATGATCCGCCAGCGAATTGAAGAGGAAGGAGAGTCATCCGACACGGACTCCCCGGCTTCACCCAAGAAGCAGGCACCTAAGTACACGCTTCCTCGAGATACTCATGAGTTTGAGTCCAGGATTGTTTATAATGATATCCCTATTCCGGTCAAGGTACCCACGGTGATCTGGCCTGAGGTTGTTGGGGATTTCTCTCTCATCAAGCTCATCCAAACCTTCTCCGGTCCCCATAGTGCCTCCCCCCAGCCCTTTCCAATCCACCCTCACCTTACCACCAGCGGTCCCTATACCCATCCCATCATAATTCTTGTCAACGCGATGTTAACCCAAAAACGTGTGGTGTTTCTGGGTCATAATCGCCCTTCAGGAGAGGTTGCAGAGGCAGTGCTTGCTGCTTGCGCACTTGCATCAGGTGGGATTCTGCGTGGATTCACCAGACATGCGTTCCCTTACACGGATCTGACCAAAATTGATGATCTCCTGAAGGTTCCCGGCTTCATTGCCGGTGTGACCAATCCTACGTTTGCCAATCATCCCGAGTGGTGGGATGTGCTCTGCGATCTTCCTACGGGCAGAATCAAAATCAGCAGTCATGTTGAGCCGGCACCGATCACAGAAGGACTCTTGTATTTTCAACAACAAGCCTCGTTGAACCATCTCCACTCCTCGAACTTGAACTCCGACCCTACAGGAGACAATCTATTCATGGAAGATGTTCAGCGCAGCATTACCAACCGCCACGGCGAGAATGCTATCCGAGCCAAATGGCGTGCCTACATCTTGAAGTTCGCACGCGTCGCTTCCGCTTTCGAGGAAACCGTGTATGGCGCCTCGAATCTCTATATCATAGGCCCCAATGAAGAGCTGTCCCCGGAAAGCCCCAGTGGGGTTCAAGCGGACCCATTAGACCCTACGACACTGCGAGGACACGGCCACGTCTGGCCTGACGAGTTATCGAAACAACGCGAATTGATGGCATCGGTCTCCCGAATCGAAGGATGGCGGACAACACGCTCGTATTACTCTTTCATCCAAGATATCGCAGCCATATATTATCCTACGCGGCCGATTATCAAACCAGACCTTCACCACCACCATGAACGGCTCCGGACCCTAAAACTATCTTCACCTGAAGCGGGGGCTATTTACATCGCCTTTTCATATGCTGTCAAAGACTACGCTGGCATTTGCCAGCTCCTAACGGTCACGCCGGAAAATCAAGCCGGCCTCTTTTACCTGGGCATGGGACTCTTCCATCCGGATCAGACGGTCCGCGAGGCGACGGTGGACCTTTTGGAGCGGATCAGCAAACATCCTGCTGGTCAACACTTTTGGAATCAACTTAACCGGTTCGCAAAATTGGCCTTTTTCCGAGTAAAGCGTGAGCGAGACGCATCGCAGAGTCCCATCTCCGGACCGGAATCGGGATTCGGAGCACCCCAGAGTCTGGTTGGGGTGGCGATGGGTGACGGGCTACGGTGAAACCAGTTGGCTATATCTTCGGATACACGACTGATGAGATAGCTGGGTCTCGTACTTCACCCTTGCTCCTTAATCTCCTATATGCCTCCTTGGATCGTTTCGCTTGACTGCTTAACCACTTATACCCGAGATACCAGAAAATCTACCAAGATACATCATGATTATGACCGTTCTATATAGCCCCTACTTCTTGTCATTTATTGGATATGTTTCATTCGTTGGTTTTGGATATACCTCTTGACGAGCCCCAAGGCACATATTATTAGCATTTGACGAAGGGTTGTGATGATATTTGATGTCTTACGTTTGATTTCGTGTCGATATTAATACATAAATATTACACCTTCCAGTCAGACAATTCAATACACATATCGGAGCGTAGACTGAGGAAATGATATGTAGTGATTGTAAGAGGTTCGAATAAAACCAATTAAATACAGGTATAAACATTAAGAAAGAAGATATCCAACTAAGCGGGAATAAAAGAAAGAAGCAACCGCTGTCATAACCCATAACCATGACCTGAACGAGAGTCTGAAGTAAAAGAAGAAAAAAAAAATGAGGAATATACAATTCTCTACAGCTCAAAAGGATCGAATAAGGAGCGAAAGGAAAAGAACGAGCCAGAGAACACGGGGAGGGGTCACCTAAATCAACCCCCAAAGACTCGCCCCAACACTCAAAGCAACAACCAACGCCGTTAGAAACCCATCCGGACGATGCACCGACCAAGTCGCTGCCGACGACGATTCACCATCCCCCGCAACGGTGATATTCGCATTCGCAAAGCTAACTCCACACTTGGAATTAATCGATTTCGCAGAAGGGAGATACGAATGAGCAAGCGGTTGGCCGCTTTTTTGCGCCCACTCGCCGAAGATATCCATGGAGGCCTGGACGCATTTGTTGCAGGTAGGATAGGGGGCGTTCGTGATTGCGCTACCGTAGGGGATGAAGTAGACATCGTAGTCGGAAGGGTTTGAGCTGTTTGTGGCGGCGTCGACGAAGCAGTAGTCGCCTGTGCTGGGGTTCTTCAGACACGAGGCGCGGTACATGGGCTCGTAGATGATCATGTCCGTGTAGGCGTCTGTCACAACTGGGTTGCCGAGTTCATAGTCCTTGCCGCAGGCGTCAGATTTGGTGATGCGTGACGCGAGGTCGGACATAAGGGACGAGCATTGGTCTACGTCGGCGGCGCAGGAGAGGTCCAGAAGGTGAGAGGTTGCTGGGGCGGACTTGAGCGTCTGGAAGAAGGAGCTGGAGTCCCGCAGGAGCATGGAGACGGCGTAGCAGTTGACGAATTTGGAGTCCGAGAGGAACTTTTTGAAAAAATTCGGACAGCTGTCTGAGGTGAAGTTCGTCGAGAGGTTGGTGTCGAATGGTGTTGGGGTGTCGCTACTGCTGCTTGTCGATCTTTGGGATAATGCTGGTTTTGCGCTGTTGTCGTCGTTGGTCTGCTCGTTCTCTTCCTCCGGTGCTAGGAGGATGGGCGAGTAAGCTGCATCTTCTTCATGGCTGCTGTCGAGTTGAACAGGGTCCCATGTCGCACGTTCCTTGAGTGGAGAAGCAGATACATCTTGAAGATCGTCGCTGACGATCCCTCCGCTAAGCGGGAGATCGAGAGCGTTGGTGGAATCTAGATCTGTCCAGATGGCGGATGGGATCACGGATGCGACAACGGATGGGACCACAATGACGGTCAGTAGCAATTGGCGAAGACTGGGCAATTGAGTCCGTCGGCGAGGAGGCAGGTTGCTGATCTGCATAGTTCGGCTTTCTGGCGCTCGGACGATGGCAGAAGTTGTAAACGAATGGCTTGCCGCAAAAAGGGCATGTAAAGGAGTGTCGGTAAGAAACAGAAAAAGAGAGACGAAGGGTGAGATTATTATTATTATGAAAGGGGCATGGTAAGAACGATCACCACGGTACCTGGCCACACATCTGGTGGTTGGGAGTGAGGAAGCCAAGTAGTAGGAGTAGTGGTGGTGTCACAGAGAAGAAGATGAGGTTTAAAGAGAGAATGATCATGTAA